ATTGACTGAGAATTTGGCAAGGAGAAGTTGCATGAGAAGGAGAAGGACTTGAAGTAGCAGGGAGGTGAGGCTTGCCAAGAGAAAAGGCTCAGGCCTGAAGGCTTTTGGCAGGTGTTTTGACTCTGCTATCCATCCAGCTGCTGACTAAAAACATGGGGGGTGTTACAAGAGAATCTATTAGCTGTACAGACAGGCTGTAATCTCTGTAATCTTCTGTCCCTGTACTAATTTCTAAGAATCTGACAAAAATGTTGAAAAACTCTGGTCTGACAAGTAGATAAATAGAGTCAACCATATGTCATCTATCAACAAAATGACTTAATAATTTCTCTGGAAAATCTGAATTATAATTAGTTGTCCACCACAGCAGCCTTAGTCCCAGCAGTGATAATATGACTCTGCCAATTAGGTCAAGTGAGTTTTCTACATGAATTGGCCCATCTGACATTTTAAAAAAGATGGTGGTCCAAGGATGGATGATTGGAGAATTGGTATTGTGATGGCCCAATGAATTATGCAAAACATTATCTCTCCTTCCATGTCATGACTGCTTTCCGCCTTATGCAACCCCCATCCACCTCTCACTGTGTTAAAATCATTCATGGTATTGTCTCATAGCGTGACATGCTGACCTCATTGCAAATGTCTTCTTGTTTAGTAGTTGCTATGCTTATTCACAGAGACATTTAACAAAATGTCATGGCTAATCTTTCATTGTCTTGCCTGAGTCACAGTCAAGGTAGAGTGAGAATGGGAGCAGGATGACATGAAGTGGGCAGGTGAGAAAAGTAAAGCAACCAAAAAACAAAGAATGTGCAGCCTCAGTCACTAAGATAAAAACAATGAATAGTAAGTGAGAGAGAGAGTGGGAGGCAGACTGAAGCCACACCCGTAGGCAGTCAGGTTGAGGTTGTCCAGGCCTTCAGGCCAAGGAGTGGTGGCACCACAAGAGAGGAAGGATTAAATGGAAGATTAACAAGTTCAGAGATGGCAAAACAAATTTAAAATCTGGCACAGCTGTCTTGACATCTGAATACAATGAAAGCAATAGACCATGTATGATAAAAGAAGAGCACAAATAATTCAAGGGAGTTGAAACTTCTGGTAGCTTTTAAAGAAATTTATTGTAGGTCCACTGAAATAGATAATTGCTGATTTATGTCAGGTTAATTAGAATGACATTAATCAATGTGTTTAAACTTTATTTTACCAGGTTTGTCCGGCTGAGATTAGGAACCAATTTTCATGCTGAATCCGTCCAATAAAGCTGCATGAGTACACAAATGAGTGACAGACTTACAGACGATCAATACTGATGCTCTGTAGTGCAACCTATTTAATTATTCTGTATGGATTCTCTAAAAAAAAAAATCAATATCAGTTTAAACTCACCAAGGGAGGCTGCCCTATGGAGTTCATAAGTTCAATATGTAATTAGTTCTCGCGACCTGTTTTCCATAACAAGCTACCGATAAACTTTTTATTTAAGCCAACATGAAAGACAGAGGATTCAAATATGTACAAATGATCTGTTTAAACACATTCTGTTTAAACACATTCATTACATCAAGAGAGAAACACTGACAGACACAGGACAATCAGTATTTGCTGCTTCTGTGTGTGCATGAGAGAGTGTATTTATAAAACTTTCACCACATTATCATGCCTGAGACATGTGAGCGGGTGCGGCATCTTCATCCTTAACTCGTTTAGGACATATTGAGGTCATTTTGCCTGGGTTTACACAACATTGCGTGAGAAGGGAAGGGTATCCGGTGGATCCAATTGCCCTCTGTGAGGGCGGCAGAGCCTCCATGAATGTGGCCTTTGAATGGCGAGAGGCCAGTAGACATGCAGACAGCCTGTACTTACTGTATCTGGGAAATAGGCCTGATGCGACTTCAAACAGCCACAATGATGTTATTATGGTCCCCCCTCCTCCCCAAGATTCTCTCTCTCTCTCTATCCTTTCTGAGAACTTGTTGCTCATGAGTCACAAGGAAGGAGTCTCCAGCAAACTGTTGTTTACCCTCATATCACAAATGGAAGGACTTGGACAAATCACTGCTTCAATTTCAGTGTAAAAAAGAAGATTTTTTGTTATCAACCACTCTAAGAGAGATTGAAGTTAAATTATCCAAAACTAATGATAATCTCTATTTACCCTGTTGAAAATGAAGCTGGTGGAAGTGCTTTCACAACATTTATTTTCTGGAGCAAAAAGATGACAAGAAGATTGGACATCATGCAGTAATTGTGTGGTTTTCTGTGGAGGGAAAATAAGAAATCATCCTGGTCTTTAAAGATAAACGAGGATAATTGTGTCGGGTGTAATGGGAAAGTACAAGAAATGGATTTGAAGTGATAACCTTAAATTTATTTTGCTCTTACCCTTGGGCAAACACATATTTCACAGTTGAAACTGGGTTATCCATATCTTTAAGTCACAATTTGCTGTTTTTCCCAGGAAAATGCCTCCCAGCATTTGACAGACCATAAGATGCAATAGGTAGCAAAGTTCAACATCATCCCAAGCAAAAAGTATCACCCAAAGTTTTTACAATATGATGGTATACCACAGTAAATATACATGTAAAAACTGTTTTTTTGAACTTATATAAGACAGATAGTGAAGTAGTTTCACAAAATGACGCAGGTGGCAGCCATGGACGAGCAGTGGATGTGTCAGTTTTGAATTTGGTGCTATATTTACACAGGCTTTCAACATCGGTGCATATCAACATGTTTCCAGTGTTAGAATATTTGATGGACTGTGCTGACTTTTGACACTGAGCAACTAGGTTAGACTTCAGAAAGACAATTTTATCACATGTAATTTGTCTTGTGAATTTTAGTTTTTGTAAGCGAGTTGTTCCACTATTGCAATCTTGACACAAGTGGTAGTTCTTAACAAACTATATACAGTAAATCTATTTTAAAAAGTTAATTTGTTTTCAGAATAAAGAAATAAAGATTTATAACAATCAATACTATGCTAAATGGTTAAAATACATGTCTTGTTTTGGTTTTTGTGGTAACTTGCAATTTAAGAGCTTAAGATGTGAAAGCTTTACATTCCAGGGTGTGCATGTCAATATAAACATGCCGAGACTCCACTCAGCTCCCTCTTTAATCTTTCTGCTCTCAAGCAAATTGTTATCCCACATTGTGAAAAGGCCTTACATGTGTTAATCTGAAGTCACAACCAGGGAAAGCATTGGGATCCATTATAGGTCAAGAAATGTTGTGTTAGAAATCAAAAGTGATTGAAAAATTATGGGAGTGGTGTATGAAAAATAAACATGGATGAAAGCAACTTCCAGCTCTATATTTGACAGATGACACATATGAAAACAAGGATTAGACTGTCAATGCCCTGACTAGATAAATATGGGTATATATGTGTGTGTGTGTGTGTGTGTGTGTGTGTGTGTGTGTGGGGGGGGGGGGGGGGGGGGGGGGGGGGGGGGGGGTGGGTG